GTGAATAACGAAGGACAAAGCTAGCTAGCTTCCCATTAAGGCAATCGTACCTACTTCAACACATAATTATCTCGCTCATCGTGAACCCTCAATAAGATATCAGGGAAGTTCCAGACTAGAAAGAAGACTTTATATTGCTTGTAAGTTTGTGAAACTTTTGTTTATAAATCATTGTTTGTAATAACTATTTGTAATAACTGTTGTTGTAAATTGTATTGTTGTTTGTATATTAAAACATATTTGTTTTAAAAAGAAAACTGTGTGTATCAATCTTGTTGCCAAATATCATTAACTAACAATATATATATGAGCTTTTTCTTAATTACTAAATCCAAAGTACAATTTAACTACTAAATTTATATTTATCAGTTAACTCAATTTCAGGCTATTTGAAATTCTAATAAGTAACATATTTCATTGAAATTAGAACTATGTTCATTTTTTGTTATAGATCTGGTTTGTTTTTCCATTGTTCATTATCTCTTTTCCAGCTTCCAAATAACAAAATCATTTGTTTGGTTTTTGCTATTCGTTTTTCAATTTTATATAAAAACAAAACTTGTTCTTACTTTTCAACTTGTACTTGAAGTGAAAGCTTCATCGTTTTTTTATTTTTAGTTAATTTTCTTTTCCAATTTTGTACAATTTTATTTATAAGTGCTTTTCATTTTTGAAAAAATTGAAAAGAAGTTAATGAACCAGATAGTTTTTCAATATTCAGAATCTGCAACATGAATAATACACAATTAATAAAAAGTGAACCACATAATTTCTCAAGTAACAAAAATGGGCACAATAAACACCGAACTTAGTTCTAAATTCAGCCTCTCAAATTCTTTTTCAGGTGTAGAAGCAAAGGATTGCTAAAAACAAAACATTTGTTGTTATACATTTTCTTCTTTTTTTTTTGATGATTTCAATCTCCTGAATACTTTTGCAAGTAAAATTCAGATGGTTGCTAAAATATTAAACATTTATTGTTATGTCATATTATATATATAAAAAAATATTGTTTTTTTAATGAAGACTTGAAATTTAGAGGAGGTAGATAATACAAGTCTTGGGTTAGGCATGGTCTGGTAGTTAGCATGCTGGACTGTGTAACCAAGGGTTTTAGGTTTGTGTCCATTTGCCATGAAAATACACTTACTGAGTTTGTTGACCTGGATATATTGAACAGTGAACTGCATCTGCTGAGGTAGGCAATGGGAAATCATCTCCACCATTATTTCCAATGACAGACACAATGACCATTGTGACTGCTCATTTTCAGTTTAGAGGGTGTTTAAAAAAACAAAGACAAGACTTGTAGAGAAATGTATCATTTAATGTCTTGTTTTTATCGAGTTGAGAATTTTAAGAACAAGTGTAGTAACTTGCCTATATATTATATACATCCCAAAACTGTAATTTACTTTATCTCATATCAGAAATAACCTAACAAATCTGAGTCAAGTTTGTCAGAAGTAGTGCATGTTCAAATTTATAAACTTTAAGAAATTATCTGAGGTTGCCCAATACGGTTAGTTACCAACCACGAAAAAAGACGTCAATAGAATAGTAAAAAATCATTGATGAACAGAATGCCAAACTGATTATTTCAGTTTTCATAGTAATCAAATGGGAAAAAAAATAGTTATTTGTATCTATTAATGAGACAATGATTATTATATTTTCAAATTAATGCAACCATTTTTTGAATTAACCTACTGTGCAGGTAATGGGACTGCCCTACTGGTTGGCAAGGTAACATACAGTGATACTGGAGCATACATGTGTGTGGCCTCCAACCCAGCTGGATCAATGAGGGACATAAGCTCACTGGTTGTTCAAGATCAACCTACTCCAAGTAAGTTGTGGACTAACTAGATGCACTATCTTTCAGAAATTTCCTGAAAAAAAAATCTTAATTAAGAAAATTATGCATTTTATTAGGCCTAACTAATATTAAGACAAGGTAGTGCAAGATGATTTTTCATTGATTTTAGTTTTAGATTAATGGATAACCTCCAGAGTTTTCAAGTAATAAAAATTTATGGCCAACTGAAGAAATAAAAACAAAATAAAGACAAAATTGTGTTTTAACACAAATACAGTTCTATACTAACTTAAACCTGCTTGTGTTGATGAGAATAAACATTGTTTGAGCTATATTTATAGTGATAACAGTTTAGGAAACAAATTCATTTATTCAACACATACTATGTGAATTCTGTTCTGTGGGTTTCTAGATGACTATGAATTTTGTAAACCTGAGCTTCAATAATTACCTTAACTTTTCTGTTAGTCAAAAGTTATGCTTAAATTTCATATTTTAAAATATTTTCTTATCCTCTTAACAAGCATTCTATAGAAAACTAAACTCATAGTAGTCTGGACACTGTACAAACAAAAACTAAGGGCCATGCTATTTACACACAAAAATACAAAGTAACAAATTAATATTGCAAAACAGAAGAATATTTTCTAACATAGTTATAAAAAAAAGATTAGTTTTATAAACAATAAACTGCTATGCGAAAGCTCAGCAATATGGTAATTTTTGTCATAGTATTAACAAAAGTTAACATTTTCCTACACTGAAAATGTATTTCTGATAGGTACTCACCCTTCTCACCCAAACCTATCTTAACCTTGATTTGCTTCTAAGCGTTGCTAAAGCAGTTTTTGCTAATAGTGCACCAGTCTATTATACCCTTTTATTTTTGCACCATTTCAGAACATGTGCATATCAAGTGACTTCCCTCCACCAATCAAACTGCACCACCTATACTAACACAGGTAGCTCCTCTACTATTATATAATTGGCAGCAAACTAAAACACTGGCATATCAGTGGGGAGTGAGTGAGAGGAGGTAAATACCTATCAGAAATACATTTTTGGTGTAGGAAAATATTAACTTCCAAAACATACTACCTCCTCTCACCCAAAGCTAGAATCCCACATTGAAAAGGTGGAGGGGCTGGTGAAGGCACGACAATATTCAAATAAGTGGATAACAACCAATTGAAAAGAACAGGTGTGCTAAAAGCTGTGGGGTATAGCACTACTTCTGGAACAGGTATGCTCCTCGCCTAGTAACAAAACAATAAAATATATAGGGCAGAACATATGAGGCATGCACCATATACTCAAGAAAAAGATATACAGCACTTTGCTTTGGAGCTGTGCAGTATATAGTGGACATATGAAATGTCTAGTATGTAATTGACAGTGGGCCTAAAGAATTGTGTACTAAGGAGACCTGGAGCACACTGGAGGAATTCCTTTGATGTATTGTTGAGGATATTGGTAACAAAAAAGAGAGCGACCTTCCTCTTCAAAAAAATATTACAAAAAGAAACGGGGGAAGCTTCATAAATAAGTAGTGAGATGAAAACTTGTTTGATAATTTGGAATCAACCTGTTGTCAACAGATAGTGCAGTATTTGTCCACATATGTAGTAGGTCACAGTATGTGATATACAAAATGTGAGTCAAGTAAGGTACCAGAGAAAGGAACATAACTTATACATGAATAGACCAAGTGTGGTTTGCCTGGGCAAAAAACATCCTTGAGAAGCACCTTGGATATATAATATTATGGCCAAGTGAGGTCTGCCCATGCAAAAAACATCCAGGGGAAGCACCTAGATATATGTCAGATTATGCCACCTTAGATGTATAGGATTAGTCCAAGTGCAGTTAGCCCAGGGAAAACATCTGGGGGGAAATGCCTTGATTCTGGAATAGGATGTTATTGCATATTCAATAACTATAATGATGACAGCCCTCTTCTTGCTGGGTACTTATAAGTCATAAGTTTGAGTTATTTTATTGTACAACCCCACTCAGGAGGAAACCTCCATGATCCACTACTCTGGCAACTGTGAACTGGAGTGGTAAGGACTCCCATGCTTCACTAGAAGAAAAAAGGGAGGAACAATACACATTGGGAAGTCCAGAGGAATGACACACTGGAGACTGTGCAATGGGTGTCTGTGATTCCCTATTTTGAAAAGCAGAAAGACCCAGATGGTAAGAAGTACGGGTCATTGGGGATGAGCAAAAATTCCCATCTGCTTTACTCGTGAAGTTCATGAGTGATGGTCCTTTATATAAAATACATTGATAATAAAAATTTGATATATATATACATGTACCACCTTAAAAACGCCCAGTGGTCATACAGAATCACCCCCATTTCTACAGTGACCATTTAGAAATATACAAATTTAATGAAAAGATCTAATAGTTAGCATACCTGACAAGGTTGACTTAAGAGAATGAGACCTTCCAAGGAAGCCCAGGTCCCCAAAAGAGATAGAACTTCTTTCACAGTGAGAGAAGACGAATATACTGTCTTTGTGTCTGCTCACTCCATATCCCTGAGCCAAAGTGGAAAAGGCTGGGCCCGACTGAGATGGGAATTGAAGAGAACCCCTAAGTGAATAACATATTGTGTAGGGGTTAAAAGGGACTTCTCCAATCTTATAAGAAACCCCACCTGAGCAACTTTTTGAAAAAGTAATCAGGTATGAGAGACTGGTTGGGCCTGCAAAGAAGCAAGCAGAAGCCAGAAATCCATGTAATGATGAGTCTGAAGACCCAGTGAGTGAAGGTGATGAGCAAATGAGTGAACCACTCAACAGAACACATAATCCAGACCAAGTGGCAGTCTACAGAACTGAAAGACACAGACATCATGAATGAACTGAAGAAAACAACATGACCCTGGAGCTATAAGAATATGAAAATAGGCATCTGTCACATCAATCTTGGTCATCCAGAGAACCGGGGAAAAACCCACAGAAGGGAGAGGTAGGACTCCATGTAGAACCAGTGTGTCTCTAGAATGGTATTCAGTCAGGGTAGATCTATGATGGGTATCCAGTCTCCCGTCTTTATGGGGACAAAAAATAGATGGGATTAAAATCCTGGATGAGTGAACATGACCTATTTAATAGCTTCTTTGGGTAGGAGGTCCTGACATGACTGGATCAGGCACAATCCTGAGGAGGAGGGAAGGAAACCAGGAAAGAGGATTGGGGGAGAGGACCTGAACTGAAGGCAAAGACCCTCTGACAGAACCCATGGATGTGTCATGAAGATACGCCAAATATTTGAGAACTGTTGCAACCTGGCTCTCACCTACCACGGAAAACATGTACTGTCACCTATACCACTGATCCCTGGAAGTATGGGAATGGGGAAAATGAGGGTAAGGATGGGATTGCCTGGAATAGGGTACACCATAGTGGGAGGAGAGGATCCAGATGTTGGAAATCTAAAAAGGGAATCGAGACCCACTGATAAGCCAAAGAATATTGGTCCACCAACCAGGGGGGATGGGGTATACCTGCACCCAACAGCAATTAACAGCAAAACATTGGGCATAAACTCAGATGTCGGGTGAGGGAGTGAAACATAATAAGCAGAATAATGGTCTTCACCTAACAAGAAATCAAGGGCTAAGGGTGAAACATTTAAAATTTGATATACCTGATCAGTAAGATGTACGAATGGTAAGGTCAGCAAACTCTCCTGACTGTAAGCATTATGTGACTGATCAAAAGAGTCTAAATTATCTTCGCCCTGAATAAATTCTTAGAAGCTTGTTCAAGGGGAAAGGGAGAACGAACTAACTACCATGCAAAAGTGTCCAACTCCTTGTGAATTAAGGCTTGAACTTCCTCAGTAGATATCGTCAACATACTGTTACATATCTGCTTGTTTGTTAATTTCCGGTAGAAATTCTTTCCGAGGAACTTCAGCGATGCAAGTCCTCTCTTGATGAAACCTGTTTATTCTTTATCAATACAAACTTTTAGTACACAGTAATTCCACAGTCAGTACAATCTCGATAATTTTGCTCTCTATGAGTGCAAAACACATACTAGCTCGAAACAGAATCGTAAATTACCCGAAATTCACCATAACTACTGTTCGCTTTATCTTCCTGGCATTTCTCTGCCAGGCTTATATACTAACAAAGAGGCATCTCAAACATTCGCGGAGTTCCCTGTTTATTCGAGAAATTCACCACGCATGCTCCCAGCATCACGTGACTTCTGTTGTCATAACACTGCCCCTTCCTTAGTATTGTTTGCCCCAAACAATAGCCACTTACATTAAACCAATAGATAATTAACAATAACTTATTTAAATGTACAGAATTTACAAACACAAAATTAAAATACAACAAAGTCTCTTAATTTTACAGGAAGTTTCTTCTTTCGTACTGGTCTCCATCTCATTGGCTTCTGGTTCACGTGGGATTCATCTGCTCCATCAGGAAATGACCCATTATTGGTAGCAGTCACATTAGTGGTAGTAACTTAATTAATGGCTTCACTGTTTTCCTTCTCAAAATCGGGTACAGTTTCTTCAACAGTGGCATTTACAGGTGACACATTTTCAGCAGCATCATTTGTTCTGTTGTTCACTTCGTTTCAACTGAAATGTCCTGGACCATGATAACACCAAAGCCTGTTGGCATGCATCACTTTTGGCTTGCCTTGCCGACCACATTTTATTCGGAAAGTCACGTCTGAGAGACGATCCACTATGTCATATGGGCCTTCCCATGGAGAAGATAACTTAGAAGACTTCCCTTTGGTCTTCCTGGGACTATACAACCACACTTTGTCTCCTGGTACAAAGCTGACTTCAGTAGATTTCTTATCATAACATAGCTTCATGGAATCAGCTGACGTTTTCAAGTTTGAATGCACTTGATGATGAATATCATCCATTCTTTCAGATAACACTTTCACGAACTCTGGCACATTTTCAAGCAACTCTTCGTAAGGTGGGCTTCCTGTTATCAGGTCCACTGGCAACCAAAGTTCCCGACCAAACATCAGCTT